TGTTTTCATCTGAAAACATTGCATTTCACTGCGTGCCATGCAAAATGAATTTCGGTTTCATTTTGAAGTACCTATCTATAGCAATTCGAAACTCATTGTGACGCCTATGAGCAAAAACCTGTATTCACTCACCTGTGTAAGGTCAATTTTTGGTTAGAACATTGGGATTGCTTGCAAACCCAACAGTAAAGCACCATTATTATTTAACTATATATAAACCAAACACAGTAACAAATTCACTATTTTCAATAAATATCACAAATCAAACTATGTCAACACGAAGTGGAGGGAAACAGTAAACACTCGAGGATAACATGGGTTCTGATAATTAGGTTCTGAAATGTTTGATGTCTATTTTAACCTCATGATAGAGGTCATAACTTCATGCTGTTGAATGTAATCTGTTAGTTTTGAAGTTCCGCACAGCATTGGTGATATTAAAGATTTATCACGGATTCAATATGGCAACGTCCATATCCACATCGTGATCTTAGAATGCTCCCATTCACCGGCTTCATTTAATGAGGTAAATAACTGAGTCCATTTATTTTTCTACGTCCATGACTGAAGTCACCACAAGGCAGCTTCAGCTACCTGCCTGACATTCGAGTCTAGTATTCAATATAGATGATGATTTTGCGAGTGGATTTGATATAATCAAAAGTAGAGAAAACTCATGGACGAAGCACTCTATAAAATATGCAAACCGAAGTCACGTGTTTCTAGCAAGGTTAGGCAACACTTGGTTGCAAAAACTTCGTGCATTTGTGTTTTTTGAAGTTCTGAGTCATAGAAAAAATGTATGTAATAATGTCATCACGTTAGTTTATTCATATTTCAATTAGACAAAAACTGAATATAATATATATTTTCAGCTGCCAACTACAGGTAAAAATCCTAAACGCCCTGTAATCATCCATATACCTAGTGGAAGATTTTTCAATGGAGGATCTATCAGTACTCGACTAGGTCCAAATTACTTCATGGATCAAGACATCGTTCTCGTAACTTTCAACTACAGGGTGGCATCACTAGGTGAGTAAAATTGATTCAGTTTCCATATTTGAGCGGTATTATTTCACTTCAATCATATTGAAAGATACCACTTCCTTTTTGGAAAGAAAGTTGTTGGTCTTCTACATATCCATCTTGATACAAAAAATGAGGAAATCTGCCAAAGAAAGGAAAAAAGCAATCAATTTCAATAAAATTAATTCTGTATAAAAATGATTAGAAAGAAAGAGCCCTCGAAACAGCTATTTCAATATAGACATCAAATTACACGAAAGAAAAATACTTTGGAACCAAATTCTTTGATATGAACGCTGGATGATACGAAAAACACTTTTCACTGAGGATACATTCCACCATTTTTGAAAATGGTGGAATGACCGAAACTCTTCAACAAATATAAAACTATAGTGGAAAATATACAAAAGTGTGTTTTTATAGTGTATCCTCAGTGGATATGAATTTCCATAAAATAAACAAGTCGTCAATCAAAGAAGTAAGAACACTTTTTTCTATTCCGTTTGTATTCAGAACATTCATAGTGGAATCGAATCAGATATCATTTAAATGATTCCTACACAATAACATTTTGAAGGAAGTAAAATTTCACTCACATGGAACGCTATCATTCTTACTGCTAGCCATACGATGTTTCACCGTAAGACACTTGCCTTATCGGCTCTTCATCGCCCAAATATCAAAATCAATTGACATCTCATGATTCGGAGGTTGATTCTCGTATTATCTCTATGGTTTTGGTGTTTCTCTTTCGAAACATGACAGAAATAGATTGGAAAGATTACAGAAAACCTGTGCTCGTCGCTTATGCGGTTAACGTTGGAGAGATTATGTAACGTATGATGAAACGGACATACTTAATATAAATATCAGCTTCGAAACATCGCTAACTTCATCAAGCCACGGAGCAACTCTCTTCAATATTACTTCCGACCTAACAAAGATAAAAGTCATCTGACAGACATAAAGATTTCGTTTTATTTTCCAAAGTAGTTTCCTTTCAACTTTATACACTTTTCCCAGCGATGCTCCCATCTCTGTAACACGTCTGTAGCCCCGTTTTTCTCAGCAAAACAATTGTTCACGAAGGTGATTGCTTCTTTATTTGACTAAAATGTCTGTCCTCCGAGCGCAATTCTTAGATAAACGAACAAAAAGAAGTCGCTTTGGGCTAGATCACTTCAGTAAATGATGGTGCACAGTCCCCATACCCAGAATCCAACTCATCTTTGCTTCTTGTAGCCGTATTGCCTTTCATAAACAGACATTCAATGAGATATTATTATTATTATTAGCATCATCATTATTTTTGTTACTATGATCATTATTAGCTCTTCCTTCATTTCTATAACAAAATATTTACTATAATCCATCTAACAAGAGAGGGACGTCCTTGTAAGGTATACGATAATTTTAAAGTGAGAAACTTTATAAATAATGAATAAATGGTAAACATCTTTCAGGTTTTTTGAGTACTGGAGACAAATATGCACCCGGTAACAATGGTCTCAAAGATCAAGTAGAATTATTGAAATGGGTCAAAAATAATATTGAAGATTTCGGAGGCGATCCAAATTCTGTAACAATTACAGGATATAGTGCTGGAGGTAGCAGTGTAGTGATGCATATGGTGTCTCCCATGTCACGAGGTAAGTTATACAGAACTGTTTTTCGATGTCCTCCACTCTTTCATTTTTCATGCAGGTCGATTCAGAAAATCAAAATTCGAGATAATAAAATTGATGCAGAAAAACTATGTTCTAGAGTGAAATCAAAAGACGAAAATTTCAAAGAGAATCTTGTACCACATGAAGTAGAAGCTTCTAACAAATACAAAGAGATTAAGTTAATAATTTTTTCAATAAAAAAATTACAGTGTATTCTATAATAACCTGAATAGTAACGTCGATAGTTCTACAAATATTTGTTACCTTCTGCGTATATCATTGTACATTTAGAATATTGCCATTCATACAATTCGTACAATCTATTTCCTCATTCGCAAGGTTTGTGCTTCTACTATATGGAGACTTTAGAAATGGAATAAGTATCATACATACAAAATCTACTTCAGTTTGTTGAAGATGATCTTGATCGAAGAACAGAATTCTACCAAATTATGATAGAAACACTGCAAGGTAGTGTTATATGTATTTTTATATAGTTTTTTCCCAACAGTAATGTTCAGAGGCAGAATTTTCATTAATGGAGTGACACCAACCCCCACGTCATTGGAGAAACTCATACTTGATATAACTGATGGTAAATCATCGTTTGGGCAGGGTAATTGGGAAATGAACGCCGTTCATCGAACGAAATTCAATAAGAAAATTTCATTCGGATATGGCGAGGAATACTATTCCCCTCTAATCACTAAGATTATCGAAATCAATCCCAATCGATTTGAAATGGCAATATACAGGAAACCTACACAAACACGCTCCACCATACCCGTAAGTTGAAAACATCCACCATCACAAAAAATGGCTGCCTATAACGCATTGATATATAGAATGTTGAGGATACCAATCAGCAATGAAGCCCGAAACAAAGAACGGAAAATCATATACCAAATAGCGAACGAAAACGGATGCACCCAAAAGACAATAGATAAATTAGAAAACAGAATCAAACAAAAAATACAGAACAAGGATCAAGCCACCCCAACAGACAAAACAACACAACGATGGACAGCATTTACGTACGTAGGACACCAAACCAAAAAACTAACAAACATCTTCAAGCCATTAAACATCAACATCACATACAAGCCAAACACGAAAATGACACAAAAAATTAACAGCTATGAAAAAGAAGAAGACAAAAACCAAAACAGGATATACAGTATACAATGCTCGGACTGCAACAAATTTTATATCGGCTAAACCAAAAAAAAACTGATCCAAAGGTACGATGAGCACAAAAAGGCATACATAAACCAAATAGTATATAAATCAAACCTCGCAACACACGCCATACAAAACAAACATAATTTCCCCCCACCAGAGAACATAAAACTCATAATACAAGTCAATAAGGGAAACCGCATGGAAATTTGGGAAAACTTAAACATCCATAAATTTAACAGTCATAAATCACTCATCGAGGAACAAATACAAATCAAAACACAACAAGACCTAACATTCAATATATTAAACAAATCAAGACATACTCCTAGAAACAATAAACCTAGAGAAGATCCAACACAAAGAATAGTACCTGATGTACTCCAACTTCAGGCAAGTTCACCTAAAGTGCCTGAAGTACCTGTATTGAGGCGTTTGGACCGTATAAAAGAACACACAACAGGATGGCACGTTCAGTATTAGGGCCTAGAGGCCCTAATACTGAAGGTCTAACCTTAAGGATTCTATGTTCTCGAATTCTCGATATGGAGAATCTTCCATGTGGAGCCCAGTCACCATTTTGACATCTTGTCGGGTCAAAATGGCGCTGTCTGGTGCTGGATAGCAAGTTTATCTAGTTGTCTTGCAGTGGAAGCTACAGTGGACGGTCGGTGTCAAAGCTTGGCTTTGTGACCAATCGCTTTGGATAGTCTCGTCTATATTTAATATTCGTGGATTGAGTCCTCTGTCGATTCTTCATATGGCGTCCTCATAGGGGGAAGAGAATCTGATGTGGCCACCATTTTCATGCTTGTTCTTTTCAGAGCAGTTCAGTAGTTGAGCCTGGCACCTTTGACAAGACCGTGACAGATGAAAACAGCGATGTTAGAACAAAATTTAATTTAATTGCTTCGCAGTGAAAACTGCAGTGCAAAATAGAGGTCGAATTTCGTTAAGTGGTCGATGTCGAAGTTTGGGTTTGAATTGGATAGTCTTGGCGAGCCTCGTTTATCCTTGATATTCGTGAATTGATTCTTCTTTTGATCCCATTGATAGCGTTTTTGTAGGAGCAGATGTTGAAGGGTAAACTTCCAGCAAAAAAATAATTCACCACTTTCAAAAAACAATTCTGATATTGAAAATGGAGTATTCACGAGGTAGATTAGTTTCATCGACAAAAGATTTTGTCTCTCCACCTCTCCATCATTGAAAATGTATGGGATACTTCCAAAGTTATAGTTGTTCTTTGAAAGTTTTTCATTTGTTTCGTCAATTTAATTTTATCATCCAATATAAGGAGATACAATGGTCATACCATTTTTCGATTTCATTTTTATAGACGATATGTCTTTAGTTTCAAAATAGGCCTCAGTTTCTATGATTCCCTTCATCGGTGTTAAATTTCTTTTTAGCGAGCATTCACATGAGGTCTGAAAACAGAAAAAAAATCACAAGGGCAGATCTGGATATCTGAGAATTGACAGCACTTTGTTTATCAACGTTCCAATAACGCTATATAATAGTTGGTGTTGATGACTTTTTTCTTCGAAGTGTGAATAAACCATGCATATACCAAAATACTCGCCAGCTGGCTCGGTTACTCATGTGTAGTCCACTCAGATGACGAACTTTTGATTCTGGTGAGGAATGATGGAGCCATGTTTCATCAATCGATGCATGAATTCGTATTTTTCATTGTTGAACAGCTTCAAACACTGCTCAGGATCATCAATTCGTTGTTGGTTTTGGTCGATTGTGGGCTCGCGCGACACCCACTTTGAACAGAACTTTCGCATACCCTAATATTCAGCACGATATGTCCAACACATTCATTCGATATCTTCAGAGCCTCAGCTATCTCGATCAACTTTGAGTGAATTGCTTGAAAACCGTACCTGCTCAGAGAATAGGAGAAACTTTGGAAGATTTCAGGGTACGTTCAAATATGTGGGGAATAAAATGAAATTTGATGTTTCAATTTTCTAATTATATTGTTTATCATGATCAATTTGTGAAACATCACATGAAATTCTTCACGATGTCACAATTCCTGAATTTCGCGGTCGATACTTACTGATTTACAGCATCTAATCCTTTGAATAAAAGACAATAGGCAATATGTTATCATATATCAGCCTCAATCTCAATTTTTGAAATTACATACATTTCAATTACTGCTGTATCTCTTGATGGCAAGAAAATTTATGGACTCCTGGCAGAATCTTCCAGATTTGACTCACTCCAAGACGTTTATTCACCCTTCGAAGCTTGATACCAAACAGTAGTAGGGTTGAACTACGATGTCTAACAGGCCTTCTTACAGGTCACTGTCATTTGAATCATCATATGCAGACACTCGGACTGTCGGAAGACAGTGTGTGTCGCCTCTGTTTGGAAAATGATGAAACAGCGGAGCACATACTTTGTGCCTGCCCTGCTGGGCACCGAATCAGGTTTTGAGAGTTTGGCAGAGCTGTACTCTTACCATCTGTCCAGAAAGACAACTCACCATACAAATCGGCTTCGTTAAGAAGCTGGGTTCATTTGGTCGAGTGTGATTAGGTGTGAGCCACAATTAACCCTTGCGGTTTGCGGTGGAGGATCGAATAGATCCACTCACTTTGGACCTAACCTAACGTAACCTATTTCTTGATTAGTGGATACCAGACTGACGATTGATTATTTTCCAAATTATCAATGATATTGCTATATAGAGTCAGCTTTCCTCGCTATTTAGTTGAATATATTTCAGCAATTTTCTTACTATATATTTGGAACAAGACCTCAAACAAGAATTCGATACGATAAAAAATTAAATTGTTAAATTTTCAATGTTGATGCATTTATTAGTATTCCACAAGTATTCGACACATTTTTCATCACAAAGAATTATTTCTTATAAACACATAATATATATTATTTTATAATTGAATATAATTTTTTTCCATCTCGCAAATCAGAACCGAGTCATCGGTTTTACGTTTTCTTCAAATTTAGAAACTTTTTTTATATTTCTTCATTGATTAAAGTTGCTATTTCTACCACACAAGAATATCTTTATATTATTCTACACCATTTTTTGAGTAGTATTCATACATTTTTCATTATGAGGATATGCTTTCCTTCCAGTAAGTTGGGAATTCCATTTTTATTTTTAACTAACTATCAGATATTGAATATGAATATTACAATTTGATATATTTTTCAGAAGTTATGAATAAACAAGTCGTTTATCACTACCACATTTAAACGGTATAGATTTAAATTTCCTTTGAAGTATATTGGAAAAAAACTAGCATAATGAATAATTTTCAATCGTCTTTGACCATAAATAACTTGAAAGCCTCAATGCTTTTATTGATTACAGGAATTTGGCATTGATCCCAGTATTGTGTGGGGACCAGTGATTGAGGGTGACTTTGGACAGAGTAGATTCTTATCAGAAAATCCCTTCAAGCTCATTATGGAAGGACATTTCCAGGAAGTACCTTTCTTGGTTGGTCAAACCAAAGATGAATTAGGAAATAATGCACTTCGTGAGTTAAGCCAATGTAACACAAATATTAAAAGTCAGTTACCATATGTGTTTTGAAGAGATTCAGGTGACGGTAAAAGATTATTAACTCAATTTTTTTTCAAGTGATTCTTGCAGAATTTTTCTGAATTACTTATTCTGATTAATTGAATATTAAGAAAATTCGGGGAGAAGAAATCTTACCGATATCAATAGAAATTTTGCAAAAAAATAAATATGCCTATTACTGAGAGAAGCTTTTCCATAGTAAAAATTGAACGGCTGAACTAGAATAATAGTTACCTCATGGTTATTGTACTGAGATGGTTTCAATGATATTCGTTGGTTTGTCTTCAATTTTCTCTCATCCTTATTATTTGAAAGGGAACAATAAGTTCTTCTCTGGTCAATTATCGAGGAGTTTGGTTTTAAAAATTCCTACTAATCGATATAAAATATAATAAAGTATGTCAATTCCATCGATATTGAATATATTTATTACAACTAGTGATGTTTTTGCATAAACTGAGTATTCAGTCTGATTATGCGAAATTCTTGAAATCAATTTCAAGTGAATTGGATTAGTGGAGAATTTCACTCAGGCATATAAATATTTATAGTATGTACGAAGTCAATTCGAATGGCATAGAAACAAAATAGTTACCGAACGTCGGCAGTTTCTTTGTATGGCATGGCCGGCGTGGAAATTCATACGAGGTTCAATTATTATTTCTATGTGGGAGGTTTTAAATGGTATTGACTAGTGAATTAGTCCGGTACGTTAGTCTTTTATTTAGCTGTTCGAATTGACTTCGTATAGGCTATACTATGATGGTAATCAAAACCTTGTTAGCTTTTCTACACTAATGATTTGTTTACTCCTCGAATGCATCATATAACTTCGAATAATAGTTTATCAGTATTTGATTGTTATTTTTTGTTTCTTCCATATATTTACACAAATTACTTGTTCTTTCCAGTGGATATCAACAATGCCTCTCTCACTCGAGAACTGAATGAAGAATTCGAGAGGGTAGCCCCCATTGTATTCCTTTACGAAAGAAACACCAGTCGATCTAGATATATCAGCAGATACGTGAAAAGTTTTTACTTTCACGACAAACCTATAGATCGATCCCAAGTCGAAAATTTAACAAGAGTATGTATACATAGTAAAAAATACAAGTGACACTTTAATTATCCTCATGATTTGAGCAACACATATTTACTGTGAAATTTTCATACAGTTCGTCACTTATGTTGGTCAATATTTTCAAGAACCTTTCTTTAAAACACTTCAAGTGACTACATGTTTATTTTCAGAATACCACCCCATACTTTTGTTTTATCATATAGGTGACTTTCTATTGAGCTATTTCGCAATAGTACGAGGTCTATTCAAAAAATGATGTGAATGTTGAAATTTCGCATGCTGCGTGCTTCCGATTAGTGATTTTTAATTTTTTTAAGTTTCTATACTCGTCTCGAATACATGTTCACAGTTTCGGCTGTTTAGCAAGTCAAGTTTGTTGGTGAGAGGCATAAAAGTTAGAGGTGTTCTGCTTGTTCGACGATTTTCTGCTTTCGAAAAAAATGGATAAAAGAATGTGCATCAAATTCTATGTGAAAATTGAAATGAGTGCTCAAAACACTTGGAATGTTAACAGTGGCATACGGTGATTGTACTATCAGTCAGGAAAATGTTTACAAGTGGTACGAGTTTTCAAAGAAGGTCGAGAAGATGTGAATGATGATGTTCGCCCCTAACGCCCCAGCATATCAACAACCGATGGAAATGTTGGGAAAGTGAAGAAAATCTTTCGTCGTCGACTCACTATTAGAGAAGTTGCTGAGGATGTCGGTATATCGGTTGGGTCAATTTTTCGAAAATTTTGGGAATGAAGCGCGTGGTAGCAAAGTTCTTTCCATTCGCTGAATTTTGACCAAAAAAACCATCGCATTAGCATAGCTCAGAAATTGTTGAATGACGTTAATGCCGAACCAGATTTGGTCAAGAATCATGGGTATATGGATATGACATCGAAACCAAAGTCCAATCGTCCCAATAGAAGAGCCTAAGAGACTCAAGGCCAATATTGAAGAAACTCATGAACGGATGGCGTTTTTTAAACATACCTCTTTTAAAGACCACGTATTCATGAATATCTTGAGCTGTTTTTCATTGAAACGCTCCAAAATTATTATGTATTATTACAACATGAAGAGAATTACAAGTTGGTAATGTAGTATAGCTCAATTCGTAATGTAACATTATTGAATCTTCCGTTATCAAATAAATGAGAAAATCAAAAATAACATTTGCAATATATCGTAATTTATTCATCACTACAGTTGTTACCGGTTGAATATTGATTGAAAATAAGTTATAATATTGATTATCCGAGTACTAAAGTAGAATTGTGGTTGATACCGCAAACATCGGAAGATGCTTATTATTATGGGTGGATGGAAAAGCAGAAGGAAATAGTCACAGATAACGGAATTGTGCTTCCTCACCTACAGAAAATTCCAGTGTTGAGGACATATTAGCAATAATGGCGTTGCCAAAAAGGCATGAGAGAATCAAGCGGTCTACACACATGGAAATCTGGTTCACCAAACTTGGCTCGCACGAACCATGTTCGTCATTTGTTCCCCTGTGTGTGGTGTTTAACGAACCTAAATCACCACAATTTCTCACGAACTTAGTCTGCCATCGGGTTGGAAAACATTTGTTGGAGTCACCGGCAGCGCGCACCAATTTCGTCTGTGTGTGGGGGAGGGGAACCGATGTTTACCATTTTCCCCAGTACTTGTGGTTGATATGGCGCACGAAAACTTCAAGTCCACCAAGTTTTTCCAGTAGCTAGGTAGCGAACTGTAGAAACGAGGCGGTGTTCGACCGATGTCGACTTTCTCATGTAAGTTTTTTTGATATGTGAAATATCCAATAAATATTCGAATTCCGTTTCGGTCATTGTTGAATGATTGGTGTAATCTTTCGCACTGTTCTCCTTAAGATGATATCAGAGATTGAGGTGAGACCACCTCTTTCTCACGAAGCCACTGCTTGGTTCACTGCGATCTTCTCTTCGTCTTTCTTTTAAAACCCCGAAACTCATATAATACAACAATAGCAGCTGCAAACAGCGATGAACTCATCCCAACTGATGGAATGAAACTAGTAAAATGGCGAACAGTTGTTCACTTCCCCCTCCACTGTGGATAAGGAGTGACGAACTAAGAACTTGGTGTAGGCCACTGTAATATTCGTGTTGGAATAATAATTGAAATTGTAGAAGTAGTTTTCAATCTTTTTTCATTTTAAACAATCTCTCAGTTAAATCTGCAAAGTGACAACTCACAGTCTACTTGACATACAATAATTAAAAACAACATATACAGGACGAAACATTACATTTCCTCCCTAACTTCAATTTTATCACATTCATATAGAAGAATAATTTGTGTGTTTAGCTTTCCTATGTGGTTGTTATCTTCTAGGAGGTTCATGAACTTCGGCTTCAACAATTTCTTGAATTGGTGTATCTTCTTCTGACTCTATTTCTTCATCTGGTTTCCTATTATCATGAAAATCTTCATCGTATTCAGGTATAACATCTAATACAGGATTCATATGATCAGATTTTACAATCTTTTTGAAGTGAGAAGCATTTCTTGTTATCTTTTTATCTAGTCTTGACGCAGTTACCTTTGTACCACTAATTTTCTCAACAATATATGGATTGGGATCATATGGTGGGGTAAATTTATTTACATGTTTTTGTTTGCAAATTACTGAATCTCCAACATTCAATTCATGATTTTTAGTATGTAATCTTTCATCTGCATACTTTTTGAATTTCATTTTATTTTTCTCATCAATAATTTTCAAATTTCCATCTACATCTTGATTGATAATTTCAGGAATAGTCGTATGCATGGATCGGTTGAAAAGTAGTTCAAACGGAGATTTTTCTGTAGTGGAATGTGGAGTAGCTCTATAATTCATTAAAAATGATTTTAATTCATCTTCAATATTTCGTCCGCTCATCACTGCACACAAAATTGTCTTCTTGATAGTTCTGACTGTTCTTTCAGCAAGTCCATTTGCTTCAGGCCATAAAGGGGTTACTTTATGATGTTTGAATTTGAAATGATCAACAAAATCACCAAATTCTTGCCCATTGAAAGGTGGTCCATTGTCCGTTTTCATTTGATTGGGAATTCCAAATAGGGAGAACAAAGAAAATAGTTCATCAATTACAGTTTCAGAGTCCACTCTTGGTATTTCATAACAAACAGGGTACCTTGAATATTCGTCAACTACAACCATGATGTATTTACCATTAGGATAGGGTCCAGCAAAATCCATGGTTAAATTTCTCCAAGGACCTGTAGGTAAAGATGTTACCTGAATTGGATCTCTACTTTTAGTAGATGTTGCTGCTCGACACAACAGACATTTCTACAGACATTTTCTCCCAATTTATCCATTTCAGGAAACCAAACTTTCCTTCTGAGAAGTTGTTTCGTCTTTACTATTCCCAAATGACCTTTATGAGCTAGCTGGATAACCTGTTTGCGAAGAGTTTCTGGAATGACCAATTTTGTGTTCCTCAGAATTGTTCCATTTGCAAAAGTCAACTCATATCTAAATTTTTTGTATGGTTTTAAAACACTGGTATTCCATAAATTCTCATCAGTGTTCTTCAAAACATCAAATATATGTTTGAATTCTTGGTCTCTTTTTGAAAATTTTATTACTTTTTTTTTATACCTTTTTGATGTTTCACTCTGAACTGGTATTGCTGAATCCTAAGACAAAATCTTTCTATTCGGGCTGAGAATACTGATCGACGATTCTGAAGTATGCGACAAGAGGTAAATGATCGGTATAGAGATTGCCCAAGTTATGGCAATCATTTCCTTCTCAATCTGACTATATTGCTCCTCTGTTTGAGATAGTGATCTGCTGGCGTATGCAACAATTTCAGGATTTTCATTATCTCCTTGTGCGATGATAGCTCCTACTCCACAAGGACCAGCGTCGACGTACAAGTGAATTTCTTTGTGAATATCAAAATATCCAAGATGACATTCTTCACTCAGCTGACTTTTCGAAAATTGAAATGTATCTTGATGTTTTTTGTCCACGTCCAACATGTATTTTTCAAGATCAATGTTCGCAAATGTTTGGTGGTACTTGCTAAATTCGGAATGAATCTCCCAACATAATTAATCATACCCAAAAGACTTCTTACTTCAGATGCATTTTTCGGGGCTTCTAAGTTTTTGAACGCTGCTACTTTTGCTGGATCTGGTTTAATTCCTTCATGAGAAAATACGTATCCAAAAAAAAACTAGATTTTTTTTATTCAATAGACATTTCGCTTTATTAACTGTCAAACCAGATTCATTCAAACGTTGGAAAACTTTGTTCAAAGTATAATCGTGATCCTGTTGATTCTTTCCATAAATTAAAATGTCATCACTGACATTCAACACTCCTTTAATGTTTATTAGAGTTTGACGAATGATATTTTGGAAAATTTCAGCTGCAGCATTCACACCAAAGCTAAGGCGTTTATATCTGAACAAACCAGCATGTGTTGAAAAAGTAGTCACCATTCTTGATTCTTGGTCAAGTTCAAACTGATGATATTCATCATTGAGGTCTATTTTGCTAAATACAGCAGCACCATTGAGATCCAATATAATATTATCGATTGTTGGTGTTAAGTGACGTTCTCGTTTGATGGCTTGATTGGGAGCTCGCATATCCACACATATTCTAATGATATCTCTACTTGGTTTAGGAACGATAACAATAGGTGATACCCATGGAGTTGGTCCAATGGCAGGTTCGATAATATTGGCTGCTTGGAGTTTGCCCAGTTCAGCTTTTACTTTTTCCCTCACATGAAATGGTATTCTTCGATGTTTTTGTGTTACTGGTTGAACAGATTTATCGATATGAAGATTCACTTGGAAGCTCTTTAACTTTCCTACTCCTTGAAACACGGCGGGAAATTTCTCTTCGAAACTTTCGATTGTGTAACAATTTGTGCTTCTAATCAGTTGTAGAATATTTAGATTCATAGCAGTTTCTCAACTCAGTAATGACTCACTACTACCTTTTATGATGGAAATTTCAGTTCGAAACTTCTTATTATTGTTATATTCAAGTACGGCGGGTAATTTTCCATCGACTGGCAAAGGAGTTTTTGAGTTGTATGGAAATATTTGCTGGTTTGTTGATAAAATGTTCTTGTTTTCTGCTAATTTTCTAACTGCTTCGGAACTCATAATATTTACAGTTGCCCCTGTATCGACAATAAATTCCGTTCTTTCACCATTTAGTAGAATTTGGACTTTGATACACCTATTCGAAACTGTATTTACTGTTTGAATTATTCTGAATGCTTCTTCTGACGATGATTCATTATCTTTTAAAAGTTCAATTTCTGATTGATTATTCATTATAGCCCTTGTTTGTTGTTTGGAAGGAATTTTCATCATTCCAGTAGAAATGCAAACTTTTTGAAAATGTCCTTTTTTCCCGCATCCTCTACATTGTGCATTTCTTGCTGGGCATGTCAACTTGGGATCTTGATTATGCCAGTTATTACCACAATTTCTGCAAATTTTCTCCGTTTTATTTTCTTTGACAGATTCAAATTTTCTAGTTTGACATTTTGACTTTTCTCATTTATTGTGCTTGAAATAGCCATTATCTTTTCTATACGAAACATTACAGCCACTCTACGTATTCATTTTTGTGAGTGGTATCTTTGGCTCTTATATAAGATGTTGATTGTGCGAAATCAAGAAAAAAGAAAGCATATTGCTTCACTGTTGCCAAAAGTGATGCAATTGGTAATGTGCGTTTGGTGAAGTAGTGCTCACAAAATCAAAGTACAAGCCGTGTTTTCTGACGGTGATGACAGTGTTCCATTCTAGTGAAATTTCACCTTTTTCATATAATATATTCTGTAGCGTATTCCAAACGAAAATTTGGAGTACAAACTGAATAAGAAAAATGTGATTTTGTATATTTCAATGTTCATATGGAAGTATTTTTCATCCACTTTTCCTTCGCATGATCTACATATTTTTGTGGAGAGTTTATTTTGAAATGAATTGCCTTCTTCTTTTCTTTGAAAGATTGCCAAAGCTTTTTTTTTCTATAAAGATAGAGAAAGTCAAAACCTTTCTTTCCCGAAAAATTAATATTCCATACATCATTACCAACTGAACTTTTTACACTTATTCAAAAAATTTAGTCTCTACTCTTTGCCTTCACTCTATATTTGAATATTTACTTTTCTCATATTCATTATACCATTCAACATTATATTCTACTGTATATTTGCTGGTGACTTGATTAACGTTTGGTTCACTAATTTTCAGGAAACCATGTTCTAAATATCTCAACTTCACAATAAATATAACGGCAGCCTATTTTGGTTAGGTTAGGTCGGGTTATTCCAGGTTAGGTTATATGAGCTCAGGTTTGGTTACGTTAGGTTATATCATAATTTTTCACGTTTGTGTTGATGTTGCCATAGTAACTACAAAACATGTGTTTTGAAATTGATTGTTTCCTTCCTTTCTTTGGAGGATTTCCACTTTTTTTGTATGAAGATGAAAAAGTAGAAAGCCAAAACCTTTCTCTCCCAAAAATCAATCTCTTCTCAAAATATTCTCCTTTCAATTCAAACGGAATTCCTATAGCTGGGATTCAATCAAATAAGCGAGTGAATGTCATTACGTACTGTTATCGATGACATGAGTAGATCAAACTCATTCGTGNTACTGACATTTTTTGTCGTTTTTAGAAACAAAAAATAAGTTAACATGGGGTTGTTGGAATTGCCATATGGCGGATAAAAATGAATATTTCTAGATATATCGATATTAATATGTTTGTCTTCTGGAAATTACTAAATTTTCCGCCATTTTGTAGTACAAAGATATTGACTTCATATTCTAGGGTTGTGAAGTATTCGTCAGGAGCTTGAAAATGATGTTTCACAAGATACCCCTTTCGTATTAGTGGATATTTCCGAATGAAAATTTTATCCAGATCACCATAAGATTTAAGAGGTGATACCAAGCGCATTCTACATTGACACTCTGCGCTATTCTGGAAATCATAACTGGTGAGAAATATAATTGGCGCGCTAGATAGTTGTGAGTTTGATAAGAAATTGAAATATATAGAACATAGTAATCTCATGAATATTATTGGAGTTTTATCCCAACACCAAATCATTATTTCTAACACCTCAACACGTGTTTCGATCACCAAGTGATCATCTTCAAGAGTAAGATTGAACAGTTCAATCTTGCACTTGAAGATGATCATTTAGTGTTCGAAACATGTGTCGAGGTGATGGTTTGGTGTTGGGAGAGAACTCCAGTAATATTCGTTACTACACCAAAGGTTCCAAACAGTGCATCACAAGTATATTACTCACATGCTCAAATCAAAGTGATGAAACTTTGTTCAGGATTCAAACGTTATTCTTGCCACTATTTGATAATATCCCATTTAACAATCAGATGAAACTGCAGCCCAAAAGTTCAAAATGTAAGATCCAATACCATAAACCACGGATTTGATTTGTTACAGTGGAACACCAGATTTCATGCATGAGATTTTATTCTCAGAGACAACTTTCATTATTTTCCAGTTTTCTTATGTTTATAAAAAATCTAAAAGAAAAGTCGATCAAAATCTATTCATTATTAAAGAAATGATACGTAAAGAAAATTTGAGAAATATGTCTTTTGACCTGTTTAATTTTTAGGCATATTCAGACCCGATTGTAGGTTTCTTCAACAACCGTGCAGCAAAACTGATAGCTCGATGTGGAAGAAAACCTGTTTACTACTATTGTTTCACATTCCAAGGACGATACAGCAACTTATATCTTCCTAAGCCAGATAACATTTCATGGGGTAACTAAATTCATTGTTCACTAGGTCATATCCGTATTAAAATTTTCTGCTTTCGAGAAGAAATGGAAAATTATTCAGATATTCAACTGAAGTTGATATTTTGGGATTAAATATCGATCAAAATTATCAATACGAAAATAAAGAAATATTTTATAGAATAGAAAATGTAATTTTCAACTGAGTAGGTTTTCCATTCCTTCGATAACATTTCCATTCATTTCTGATGTAAACAAATAGAATTTCAGTATTTAAAATATTTCATGAACGTATGTATTCAATTGTCATCATTTGTTTGTGTCTACTGTTCCCTTTTCCCTCACACCAGTTTTTTCTAGTAAGTAATAAAAAGTGTTTTTATCATTTCGGTGATTTTTGTTAAACTATCCCGCGAATGACATTGGATTGGATATCATCAACAAAATTCATATTATTAAATGAAAACATTCCCAGAATGTATGAACTTATCAGAGTAATCTCCTGATGACTTCAGAAGCGCTCAAAGAAAACTATCAGAATGATAATGTACGAGAAAAATGTTTAGTCAAATCATTACTTCATTTGTTGAAAATAGGTCTATTAATATTTATTTCACATTTTTAGTTGTCCATCTTGATGATCTGATGTATCTACTCTACGACTCGGTAAATTTTCCACTCTTTGGTAAAGATTCACCTAAACCGGAAGTAGATATGGTTGAAAAGCTCACAACAATGTATGCAAATTTTGCTAGAACTGGGTGAGTATTGTGATGTTTCGCCATTTCTTTTTCAGTGTGAATAGTGAGGATAAAGAACGTGTTCATTAATAACACCTTTTATTATTTTTTCGTTTCTTTGACTATACGACGTGAAGTTGACATGAATACCAAAAAGAGCTTGATATATTATACAGGGTGAGTCAACAATATTCCCTCTGCCCATTGCTATCAGAGGAAACAATTTTCTGAACTGCTCAATTTTTTTGCAGTTATATCGATGAATACCTTCTTTTGAAATTATTTTCTCGCACCCTATATATTGTTTCCGAAAGTTGAGACTCCCAAAATTATCATATTGATGTTGACTAACTATTCCTAAAAAAATCCAATTGATTGCTGAAGACATGCGGGTGGTAAATTAAAAAAATATTATTTGCAAAATAGGTTTTACTGGAATAACTTGAGAGCTAAAAAAATATGGAATCGAATGTCGTATTCATATACAGGGTGTTCCATTTAAAAAAAAACTTTGGTTGACCACTCTCGGCTGAATCACCCAGTATGCGAGAAAATCATTTAAAAAAATAATAATTATCGACATGACTGAGTAATTCGAAAAATTGTTTTCCCAGATAGCGATGTAGCGAGGGAATCTTGTTGACTCACCCTGTACAGGCCGTTTTTTCAGCTGATCCCATTGCTATCTCGAAAACAGTTAGATCTACCATGTTGGGTGAATTAGACAAAAGTTTTTTCTTTTGGGCAACTACAGTATCCTCTTTCCTGATCTGAAATATCAGTAGTTATTTTTGAAATATTCGCTGAAAACTGGAATTGTCGAATTTTGTTTTTTTTTTTAATGATACAAAAATAGCCAGAAGGACTTTCAATACTATTCCATATTTGTTATGATTTGATATGGATCAATTTTCAATGCGACGTTTCATCATGAACTTTATTTTTCAAACCCGGACTCCTAGTTATTTTCATCGATTTTGGTAGCCAGTATACCTAATAACAAATTCAGCTATGTACTACAATACATGTGTTTCCTGACTTTTGTCGTCTCCAAAAAAAACAACATCAATATTTGTGTAGTCTCAAAAAGGTAGAACTCAAAATACATCAACTCCACACATTTTTTGAAACCTTGCAAGAAGAGGTAAATGCCCATGTATTTCAGGAGTTTTGTATATATTTGGAACAACTGTACATAAATGTTTTGTTACTGATGTTTTCCGGCAAAAAAAAATACGAAGGAAAAATTCATGACAGTACTGAAATGAATTGTTTCGTTTAACGTGAGCGCATGAGTTAACAAAATAGGTATATGAAACAAGAACAACGATAATTATTTGGCGCTCCGGGCGACTTGATTAATTTCCGTGGCGTATTTGCTTTTTCAGTTGCAGGATACCTCGGAAAAACCTGCAGCACCACATCATCTGAAGATCTTCATCTGCCAATGTCCTCTCTTTCTTAGAATATGTATAATTGTCAAATTTACTGTCAAGTACGTAATCATTCGATTGCATGCATTTATCAGAGAAAAACCATGAATTTTCCTTAGAGAAAGTTGATATGCTTCTCGTATACGCGAGATGTTTGAGAAATGCTACTGGTTCTCTAGCTTTGTATATAAGATTGTAGCCTGATGGACATCATCAGCCATCAAAAATATATTTTTAACGCATAGAGATGAGTTTACGGAATCATGGTATATTTGAAAAAACCCTCGAGTGAGAGTTGTACAGTAACTAAAAGAGGTGGTGATACTGAAATTAGCGTTTTGGGTAAGTTCAGAAGACGTTCTCAATAATAATAAAGTTATATTTATTCGATTCATAATTTGTGGAATACCGAGTGATAATGCATATCGTGATATAAGAAATAAATTCAGACCTTACGAAAAAATCTACCATTTGCATTCAATGGACTATGATAGGAGAAAAATATTTTGAAGATGGCTACTCAGACAACATCGTCAGAAAAATGAAATTTGTAAATTCATGAGAAGCGGATAGTTTAACAGATCTATTATTTATCACTGACGATAAGAAAACTCTTTTCTACATAGAGCTACAAATCTCCAAGAGAAATTTCGAATCAATATTCGACTTGGTGTGCTCAACATCAAGATATCAGACCTTGACTTTTTTGAGGCATTTATAACGGAGGAATTATATTTGGAATTTTTGTCGAAGACTCTAGTTGAGTTGTTGATAGATTTATTTTCGAAAATTTTGAAGAAAATATCAATATTTCCAAGCAACTCCGTCACATCGCAGAACTATTATGCCAAAACGATGGATAGGAAACAATGGTCCTATTATATGGCCACCACATTCACCTGATCTGACTCTTCTGGATGTTTCGTCATGGAGCTTGAGACAAGGTATTTGGCCCAACTTTCGGCAGTATTGACGAATTGAAAGAAACAATAAGAGGTGCTTGCATGGCAAGGCTATAACTATTGGTCCCTACTTTTTCGAGTAGCTCTGACTGGTGATTGTATGATCATAGAGCGAACATGAGAAGAATGTTAGAAAACACATGTATTGTAAATCATAGCTGAATTTGCAGTTATTGCCGTTTCCCTGATAGCTATAGTAGGATGAGCTGAAAAGAACGGCTAATTTTATCAGAACGCTTATTATATTAGGTCATACCAACATAAAATAGTATTGGAAGAATAAAATTCAATATCAGATTTTTGAGAAATCATCTCCCAACTGTTTCAGTGTTTTTTTTGAAAATGATTGTTATCATTTTCTACCAAATGAACTTATTGATCATGACTGTTCCACTTTGACTCCTAAGATGACATAGGAGCAATTTTCCACCAAATATGAAAATCTAATTGATCCAGCAGCAAAGCAGCAGTATACTGTGTAGATGATAGATGAAGAAACTCTTGCCTCCTGAGTTTTTTGATATTCATACATTTTCAAGTATGATAACTTAACGGCGACTGTGTGGGATAATTGTCAATAGCAACATAATGAATAATACTGGAGTTTTTTTCCAACACCAAATCGTTATTTCAACACCTCGACACTTGTTTCAATCACCAAGTGATCATCTTCAAGAGGAAGATCAAACAGATCTTCCTCAGATGCTACCATAGTATTCATGAAAATCGAAACCTGCATAACAAGTTTACCGCACTTTCAAGAAATCGGGGTCATTTTGTCAGGACGTTCATAATTCACGGACATATCAACATAGACATTGTGATGGAGCAGAAAAATCAATCAGTCATTCCCACTTCGAGGACTTAGAATTGCATAAAGATACAAACATATGAAGATGTTTAGGCTATTCTGGTCGTTGAGGTCGATGTATACTTGAAACTTTTCGTTTCTAATCAACAGTTGGAGTAAGAACTTCAATATTGTGGAGAATGAATTGTTGCAGAATTACTCAACAACTGTTTCAGTATTCTGAACGTCACACAAGTAGAAATAAATATTTTTGTCTTCTGGGGGACATAATTAGGATTAAATATCATTACTATTTTCTACTAAATATGATTACTGACGATGACCCTCATTCGATATTGAAATAATTCCTCATCATACTGATATCAACAACCAATGCCCACTTTTCACATAGTGATGATTGGGCCCAAGACTAATGTGCTATGAGTAGGCGCAATGTGTCGAGAATGACAGTCTTCTGCATTTGAAGGTTGAAATATTACAAAAAATAAAGGCTAAGGAAATATGATTTTTTTTTCAAATAACTGTTTACTTTGACTATTGCACATTTGAAGTTGAGAAAGTCCAGTGCTAGGGAAAATTTCTTCCAGTTTAAATAATTGTTGATGTTATTAAGACTTCATTGACTTTATTTCCCGATACTCATTCATACCAAAATGATGTTGATGGGAATAAAATGTTTATGGCAATTGATCTCTCTAAGAAAATGTAAACCGCTTCTCGGGCCAATATTCATCAATGATGTTTTTTTTTGAGAAGTTACAGTCAGATATGTTTGGGTTGAATGCAAAAAAATTTGTGATATTTATCAAGCTTCCGACATTGTTTGCCTTCTTCAGGACAACTGTTATATAGGATTATGCAATATGAAAATATAAGTTTATAGGAAGGATACACATCTAAGTTTCGAAAGGTCTGTGTTAGAAATGGTATGTATAAATAATAAAGAAAATTTTAAGAATAAGCTCACGTGAATAACGCCAACCATAATCATAATCTCGCAAACTGATATCCTTTACAAAACATTTTCCGCTGTGATTGAAATAATTATAATTTTATCTGTCATATCGTGAAGTTCAGTTCGTTCCAATTGATTTTTTTTCTGTTTGTGAACTAATTCAGTACCTTAATTTTTTCATACAGTAATATTTTTATATTGTATAATCATATATTATAGTTCATTGAAGAAGACTGTCGAAGGTTTGACAAATATTACAAGGTTGTATTTGCATTGAGCCAAACATAAGTGACTTCATCCCCAGGAAAAAAAAATAACATTTTATGTCGATACTCTTCACTACATCACATCCTGTATAGTTTCTATGGATTATATTTGTTTTAATTTCATAACGAATGTTTGTAGTAGAAACTGAATAAAAAAGTTATTTCTGTTTAATTCAATGTTCATAATAAAGTAGTTGTTTCGTGAGGGCTTTCTCTTTCAGTTAGTATTTAAAAAAAAAATTTTGTTTGATCAACATATCTTTATAAAGAGTTTTCATTATAGTTATTCCCTACCTTCATCTATTTGAGAGTTTCTCATATTTTTTATCGAAAAAAAAAAACCAATATCTCCCAGAAGTATGGAAAAATATTCGAAAATACAAATCATTAAATTATAAAACAACAACAAAAATCAATTGGCGCTTCGGGGCGACTCCATTGATTCCAGTGGCGTATTTGCTTTTTCAGCTGCAGGAAATCTCGGAAAAACCTGCAGCCCCACATTATCTTGGAAGATCTTGATCTGCCAATGTCCTCTCTTTCATAAAACAACATGTAGGGTGTATCCAGAGGCTCGAATGAATTTAATACATCGCCAGAAGCTAGTGACACGACTATCGTCAAACTTCAACCAGTCCGTTTCGTCTTTGACCAAGGCGTAATAATGAACAAAAATATATTTTTTTCTCAGATTTACCTGTCGAAATCAAAATCCATATTATATTATTTTCAATCATACAAACAACCCTCCAATCAAATACCTGTAATGATGAACTAGTCTATTAGTTACCGATGTTACTTTTTGGCAACAATACAAATAACAATATTGTCAATTGTAACAGGCTTTTGTGAAAGGCTTTTCAGCTTCCTGAGAGAACGTTCCCTGCAAGTGGCCGTTGATGGATATCTTTCGATATCCATCAACGCCGGTGTTCCCCAGATATCTATATTGTCTCCAACCCTCTTTTTATTGTATATCAACGACTTATTGAAAAAACCAAGAATCCAATATATTTCTTTACTGACGACAGCACACTTGTCTCGTCATTACATTTGGATTCCAGGACACACGGAGGCACATCTTCATCAGCAGCTGAAGGTTGCATATCTTAATGAGGATCTAGAAGTGATTTCGAATTAGGATGAGAGTAACCAGGTTCAATTCAATGCCACAAAAACTAAGGCATCGATTTTCTTCAAGAAAATGAATGTCTCCGAACCGGATATAATGATGTCGCTTTCTGCTTCGATAAGTTTGTTGGGGGTTAAAATGGACATCAGTATGTCTTGGCACAATCATTTCGCTGGAATTGCAAAGGCTGCTCCTCAAAAGCTTGAGAGACTGTTCCGAACCAGGAAACTGTACACACCTCAGCTACTTTTGATGCTTTATAAAGCTCAGATCAGATCTTCTTTGGAGTATTGTTCTCATGTATGGAGTTCTGCCCTCAAATATACCCTGAAGTTACTGGATTCCATCCAAAAAAGAGCCCTCCGCCTGATTGGAAAAGCGAATATCACGTGCCATCACGTGAAGAAAGATTGGAGATTTGTCTCTCTTCTATAGATACTTTCACAGGAAGTGTTCAAGTGACTTGCCACATTTAATTCCACCAAAACAAGTATATATTAGAAAGACGCGACTGACTGTGGCTGCTCATAGTTTTGAAGTTCAACCCAGTTCACATTAAACTCCACTGTTGAAGAACTCTTTCATCTGGAGAACTGTGGAATAAACTTCCTGAGAACTTTCTGGATTCAATCTCCAGCGATTCAAATATAATGTGAATAGCTACTTTCGCACAGGCATCGCACTGAGAGCTACTTAAGGATGTTCGTGTAGTGCTTGTGCTTTGTCCTTAAAAAAAAGGATAGAGTACTGAAAACCGGTTTGAACGTGGTATCACACGCAGCCCATTTTCATTCAGAATTTTCACAAGGTTAGATATTACTCTGAGAGTTGAAAGGACAGTTTAACGATTGTATGAAAGAAATAAATTTTCATATATAAACATTGACCTGTTTCAGAATTTTCAATTTGCATTCATAATTACGTAGGAAATGCATTTATCCGTTACTTCAGGGCTTCACTGTACATACATATAATGTGAGGTCCGACTTAACTGCTGAGAAGTAGTTAAGACAGCTGGGAATTGTCATATAATGTATATTGTAATTCAATTCAAGAATGTTTTGACTCAACCTCATTTTTCCTGTATCCTCCATGTAATCTCACCAACAAATCTTGAAGTTATTTGACTATGTACTGTGATTTCTGAATCACTTCAGAAATAATTAGGACAGAGAAAATGAGAAATTTTATGTTGCAGTAATCCAACACCACACAAAACTGAAGTACTAGAAAATGTGCAGTGGGAACCTTTCACACCAAAATGTCAGAAATATTTGGATATCGGCAAAAACCTGGTTGTGAAACAAAGACTGTATCAGAGGCGATTTGAATTCTGGGAGTATTTATTTCCCTTGAGTATTTACCAAAAGTAGCTGATCGATCGATTATGTGAAAATAATAAATGATGATGAGTAAAAAATTGTGTTTTATTTCAACAGCACAAAAAAAGTAGAATGAATTTGAGATGTCTCAGCCTTGATAAACATTGTTGTCAGAGGCAATATCGATTTCATAATCGATAATATAAGTAACATGGGCATTAAAACAATTTTTCATTCAGAAAATAAATGTTTTGTCTTTGGTTCATCATTGTTTAGAAACGGAATTTCTGTGAACTGTATAATTTACATCTGTTTTCACTCAAATATTTCATTTTATTTCGGTGTTCTAGATAATTTTGATGAATATTTCGATAATATTCATTGTCTGTGGCGAACTGAATATCGATTATTCATGTGAGACAAAAATGGAACAAAACGTAATGACTTGTTCCGAAGTTGGAATTGAGTTAAAAAAAATATTGAACCAACAAAAATTTTCACTTATTCAGACGAGAGAGTCAGTTTTACAAAACTTGACAATTTTTTGAAAAGTATGTCTCAAACACCGTATCTTTCAAGAGCACAATGTGTGAATATTGCAAACTATTTGTATTCTGGAGAAACAGTTACCTCAACAAATTGATGGATGTAGCCGTCACTACGTGGTAGGAAATCATAATGAAGAAAAGATAATTGCAACTTTCTCGGTTTTTTACCACTGACCATGACATACAATCAGAATAAATTTGAGTTTATTGTTTTCATAAAACCTAGCTATACAGAAATTACCATCCCAAGTGATTCTTTCCATCCAGACAGTCATAAATTGGCAGCCTACAATTCAATGTTGTACAGAGCATTCTCACTGCTTTTGTCTGCTAACAGTCTAGCTAGGGAAATTGATATAATTACAGAGATAGGCCATAATAATGGTTTCAACGCATATACAATCCAGAATTTAGTAAGAAAACAAAGCCGTAAATTCACTTACAAATTAATATACCTAACCCCAGATCAACTAATCCAAAATCAAAAAATGGGTAACTAACATATTTTGGTGAAAGAACAGAGATGATTGCGGGTTAAAAAAAAACAATGTGGAAGTGGCATTCAGACCACAGGCCAGGTTATCTGATTTCCTTTTCAATGCCAAAGATAAAGTGGACAAGTTGGAGAAATCTGAAGTTTATAAGCTTAGGTGTCCGGAGTGTAATAGTGTTTATGTGGGACAATATGTTAAAAATTTCCGAAAACGGTATACTGAACATCAAAGGTCCTTCAGACTAGGTAACAATGATTCGACTTTTTCAAACCATTCCTTGGCATACAACCACAAGTTCTCGAATCTAAACGATACGGAGATTTTGCACTATGCAAGGAAGGGTTGCAAACTCAATTATTTGTAATCCTTGGAAATTCACAAGCATAAACATTACGGGTGCAACCCGATAAATGATCAAATCGATTTAGTTAACTCACCGGTTTTAAAATTAGCATATCCACATTGTCACTAGTAAACAAAATTCAGGTACTAAATCAAGTTAAGTACCTCTATTATTACCTACAGTGGTGTTATATAAGTGCTAATGTAATCAATCATTGTTAGTTTAATGTATAGGTTTGGAAATGTCCTTATAGGACGAAACTGCAGTAATGTTAGTAACATTCATTCTTTTCATGATCTGTTTTTTCGAAAGCGATGAAACTGACAATAATAAAATGGAAACAATAATTCAAATTTCGAAAAAAATCAAAAAGAATACGCGACGCGACGTAGGTACTGGTGTTGCGGTGATGTGCGGCAAGTAGGACAGGTGTCAGATCTGAGGTCTCATTTCAAGGCATGACAGATGTTAATGATGGAATCCTATTAAAAACAAGCAGTTTTCCTAGTCACAAGAAATGCAAAACTGTTCTCGATGCGAGTTTCATCAACCAAGTTAGCGTTTTCAGGAGATGAAGAAAACCTAGATTTTTTATCTCCTGAGCCAAATTTGACTCATTATGAAAGTATCACTTTCTACTACTCCATCTGATACAAAAAAAATGGATGAGAGAATCTTGCAAAGAAAGGAAGGAAGTAATCAAGTTGAAAATAAGTAACGCTATATATGGATGTGTATATCATGCAAAGAAGTAACTTTCAGACACAAACTGAAAGAAAGTCCTCCTGAAACAGCTACTTTCATATAAACATTGAATTACACGAAAGAAAAAAAATTCTTTCGAAACAAATACTTCTATATGAACACTGAATTATACAGAAGATACTTTTCTCTATTCAGTTTGTATATCAAACATTTGTTGAGGAATAAGAATCAGATATCATTCACATGAGTTCTACTTTGAATGAATGGTAATAATAAATTGTACTCACATGGAACACTGTCACCCTAACTGGTATACACCGGTGTTTTGCCTAATTTCTAATAATACCTCTTTCAATTTAAACAATGAAAAAATTAACAAACTAAAATTTTGAATCGATTCGAAAAATATTTATTGAAATGAGGATATTTTTTCTAGAATGTACCATGATTACTATTTTTTATCGATATTATATTAGAGTATTTCATTTTTTTGGTTTCGAAGTATGTAATAAAACAAATGGTTCACATGATGAATATAAGAGTGTATGAGTCTTGGGAAATGGATTGTTACTTTGAAATACTTTAATTACATATCCATGAACCTCAAATGATAAAAATTCGAAGCCTAAACAAGGAGGATGCGATGATATACGTCTGAGCAGAGCATCTTATCTAGAATGGATTGAATCACTTTTCTTCAAGTAAGTATATTTAATTTCAATCTTATACAATATGTATAATATATAAGATATATATATATATATATGCTCGTGTGTGTGTGTGTGTGTGTGAATGAATATGAAGGATCCCATACTAATTTAATAGTTGAGCAAATGAAGTGATCCATGTCATGACATAACTTGGAAAGTTTATCCGAATTTCTCTGAAGATACCTTTCGAACTGTTACAAATAACCAGAGGTTTCGGGAGAGAAAAATACATGTCTTCAGTTCTAGGAAATATTGTCAGTCAGACAAAATTCATAATGATTTTTTAGTATCATCAATATATGGTGCAGTACTATTACTTTGCAGTACCCATACTTTGCACTGAAAAAAGAATGTCTGACACTTCAATTAAACAACTCACACAAATGAATATTGAGCATATGCGAGTTCATAGAATCAATTTGTGATTTCATAAGTCGAATGGAATCGAATGAATGAGCTTTCATTAGATAGCTTCAATCCAAAAATTGTTGATGAATTCTAACTATGAAGAAACTAGAAATAATTTCATGTCTACAAAAAAGATCATCAAAAATTGTTTTCTTTGGATTATTGCCGCCCATTATCAGAAGCAGTTTATCAAGTAGTTATCACTGAAAAAGTATTATTAGTTGTCAATTCAAAACTCCATATTCTGTATTTCCAAAACTTTTGATAACTAACACTAATAAAACCGTCCCATATGATTTGAAAGGAATTCCGAAACGAACAAATATTCATTCTCGAAATCAGAAAATATAACAGATTTCAACACACTACAGAAGAGTAAGTCGAAAAGTTGAGAAGTCAATCTATAAAGAATTGTCTATTCATGATAAATAGGCGGTGGGCAGAAGAAACGTAATAAATAATTGTTTTTTAGGTTTTTTAGGACGGAATTGTTCAATGTAGAAGAGATTTGTGAACTGGTTAACCTAATTACTGAGTGGACCTAGCATGAGATCCTTCATCTACGAGATCCAAAGATCTCAGGCAGTAAATTTTTTGAAGTACTTGATTTTTGCATCCACAACTCTGAATAACAACTCTTCAGTAATGAAGTTTCTTCCCGGTATCATGGTGCAATTGGATGCTTCAACTTGATAGGTGACATCCACAGGGCAGTGTCCTGGTCTGACCCTTGATACTTCGTATGTGAAGTATACGCTTGCCGTCGCTTGAGCAACTGGAAAACATTTCGTGGGAATTCCGAATTTTACCTCATATTTATAGAAGTCACTGACGGAACTGCTCTGTTTTGCAACAAGTTCTAAAGAATAAGCCCAATCCTCTGTCATCTCTGAAGTGCCATCGATATATTCTACGATTTTTGTCGCTCCCAAACTGATGTTGAAGTTTTCTATAGTGGGCCAAGACGTGATATTTCTTGACGATGATTCCCTTCGATTTTTGATGACAATGTCTTTCTTATAGCTGAAATGTAATACTTGTGAAAACTTACAGAAAAGATACTAACGTGATTTTTGTGAAATATTTCTGAAAACCCCATTTTTATAACGAGCATTAGCATAGGCAGCTACTTCATGTTGGCCGCGATGTATCTCAATCAAAGGTAACACTCTCAGGATAAACACAACATTGTGAAGACAAACCGCAGAAAAAATTTGAACTTTTTTTTTGTTTCTTTTCTGAATTATTAATTTCTTCAATATTTCTTTTGTGGAACGGTATCTTTGTTACGTTCTAATTTCCCTTTCAGTCAACCTGACCCTTCTGAACAATAGAACCACTAAATAATGACAAACCCAGTACATCTATTTGTAATTTTTATTTATTCTAATGAAGATACAAGTTATATCTGATATCAGGCACTTAGAAATATTACTCCTACTTCATGTTGATTCACTAGTAATAACTAATAAATATCTTGAAGGTATTCGAAAGGATTTATATAACCAAACATTGGAATTTTCGAATTGATTGTGGGTTTCATGGAGATATTTTTGTAATTCAATCCAAAATTCAGCTCTTAGATGATTTGCGAAGTGGTTTCAAATTCGCAGTGCTGCTGGTTCGGTGGTTCTGTTCACTATAGATTATAAGGACTGGATAAAAGGTGGGTCCTAATACCCTCACTGTCCTGAGGCTATACTATCCTTTATCCAATTGAGTGTATCACTCGAGAAAACTATCCTACACGGTGCCCTGGTCCGAATCATAGCAATACCATTGAACTATCATACAGGATGTCCCAGGCTGAATCTTAGCTTACCGTTTATCCATCATACAGGGTGTCCTAGGAGGATTGCACTCGAGAAGTCTATCATACCTGGTGTCCCAACCTGAATCTTAGCTTACCGTTGATCTATCATGCGGATCAGATTTTCTGTCTATGCCTATGTTTATACTTATGCTAGTTTATACTTATGCTTATTGGTAACTGGTCATATAACTATTGATAGCGGTCAGTTTTTATGCCTATGCGTATGCTGTTGATAATTGTTTTTTTGCTTAATGATTTATTACTCCTGCTTTATCTGTTCATTTGTATATTGGAAGCTTGCACTCTCTGCCTGTACTTAAGTTATTAGTTGCTTCAATTGGATGAATCTTGGAAAAGTGAATAGATATTTGGTTGCATATATTTATTTGCTTAATTTGCTCATGCGAATTGCTGATGATTTAATTTTGGAATAAAGAACTTTTGTTATAGAGTCCCAGTGGCTTCTGCAATATTTTTTATATTTTGCTTCATTGCGAATATATTATATTGAGGTACATGGTCTTTTAATTCAACCTGATTTGGTAAATTGATGAGGTTGATAATTCCTTTAGGGTATTTGGCATTTAACAATTTGCCTGGCGCCCATTTGAAAATCGAATCAGCTCACAATAGTTGGGAACCCCCCATCTTCACTGTTAGCTAACCGGCAAATACCCATCTGTCATATGATACATTAACAGGTGATCACTTGTCCTCTCGTATAGTTCGAAGGTCACATCTTGAAAAATGAACGCGACGACATCTCCTCTCACAAAAACGACATCTATGGGATGAGACTGATAGTCAATCCAATCGAAGCTAATCTTCGTTATCTACCGCCAAGTTTCATCCACAGTGTTTCCCTGCAGCAACTATGGAATACTAGAGCACATAAACAAAACTTTCGCGATCCAACACCAGATAGCGCTGTTTTAACCCGCTCTATAAGTTTCATTAGTGATGCTAGGCTGTATCAAAAATGTATTGCTGGACTAAACTGTCTTTGAAGAATAACCCTGAGAAAGGGAAGAAAACATCTCCCCCCAATAAAATTGCATCTCTGGGATCTATTTATAATGTACGGTATTTTATTTCAACTCAATATGATTCTTGAATATAGATTGAAACGTTAAATAGATCAGCTTTTGATGAGCTCATGAACTGCGTTTATGTTTAGACTGAAAATAAATGTATTGGAAATAATTTAGTGAAAGAATATGAGTTATACAGATATCTAGCAAAAAAATTAAAAATTTTGTAACTGAATATGTTAAACTTTCCTGGTCAACTGCCTTTCGTGCTTTGAATTAATTTGGTATTCAGTACCACTACGTTATTCTCGATCTGAAGTTCTTCTGAACATTCAAATTGTTTACAAAAGTTTATATTTTAAGCAATGGTACACAATTTCTTGATATTTTTCAGGAGACTAATTTTGATTCACACAAGTATCAAGTGAACTCAATAATTTTTGACTATTGACTACAACGGTCAAAAATTGTGACAGTTTGTAACAGTTCTATCGTTAAATGGTAAACCCGGTAGATAGTTCTATCGTTAAATGGTAAACCCGGTAGATAACCATATGGAAGTCATATATGACAAAACTTTACATGTCATTAAAAGAAATAATCAATCAGTTAAAATGAAATCATTCCATTCGTTATCTTCATGGGAAGATTTTCCCGTGGTCCCGTGAATTGTTCTTATAGATGATTTAATTGTGATATTTTCCAAAATACATTACTTTCGTATTTTAAAAACCACTGCATTGATATCTGAAACTTGTATACCTAGCATTAGGTCGGAAGTCGGACCTTAGTTGGCACATGTTTCGACTTCTGAGGGTTGTCGTTCGTAGGGGTGCGACAGCTGGTTAACGCAAAAACATATTTTTTTATTATTTCTAGATAGGTCTACATTTCTATTCCAAACTTCTCATGCACCCCCATATGACACATAATGAATGAATGAATTTCAAAGGACATAGATAGCATCAATCCAGTTTTCATAACCGCAGTTCTAAAATACTATTTTCCGACGTTTTCGATTCTTGAATTCATTAGTGATCACTGGAGAAGAATAAGTATATAACTATGAAAAAATTATAAATCCAGCTCAAGCCCCTTTGCCTAATATTTACTGAATTCTAAAACACTGCACCTAAACTCACTTTTTGGCGATCATATCGACGGCAGTCTTCAAAATGTCATCCACGAACATATATGTGAATTCTTCATAGTCTAAATAAAACTCGCAGCCTCTGACAGGTTTTTTGCGTCTATGTACTACCTCTCTATAAAAATCGGTGAAAAATGGAATTGAACTTTTATTGGGTTGAAACGGACCATTCCACATTACGGATTTGCTGCCTTTGTCCACATCAAAAGTATCTGGTGGACTCACACACTTCAACTTTGTTTGACTTTCGGGCGCTACACTGATTGTATCCATTCCTCTGAAAGTGATTATGTTGGCGACTGTGGGAAAACATTCTCCCATTTTCACTGAGTACTACTTGAAAAATACAGTAAAATTAATTCGAAATGACGTTGGTGAAATAAATACAAACTGTCAAATATTCAAATCGTCTTTGATTATTCAATCAGTTTTTCTCCGATAAAAAGTTGCTTCTACAGAATTTTGTGTCGCGTGCGACAAAATCCGTTGACCAATGAGAAGTCGGTTATGTGTTGCTGTATACTTGTCTTGCGACGTATCAAGTTGAATTCATGAAGTAGTATCAAGATAAAAACTTCAGGTCGTAGAAATTCATGTTTCCTATTATATACAATTGAAGTCTTTCAACTTGTACATGAATGTTGCCACTGGAATTCAGTGATCCAACTATTTTGGTACCCTGTATCGCTTTCACTGTGAGACATTGGGTTCAAGAAAATCCACATTTCAGGGGGAACATTGCAAAATATTTCCATGAAGTGAATGTTTGGTGTGGTACACTTAATGATTGGGTAATTTTTTGCAGAAAATTCAATTCAGGAAGATTTTTATAAATCCTTGAAAATAACTCGGGAGAAATTATTGGAGAATGGCGAATGAATGTCGCTTCAGCACATAATGTTGGAATCTTCAGGAATTTGCTAGATATGAACAGAGGGGGATTGGAAGTGATGATCCTGTATTTTTTTGAAAGTGGTTGACGATGTTTCATGGTGAATTTTACTGGTTCGGATTTCCATTGTCTGATATGCTATATGTAATATGATTTGAAATCTCTAAAAGGACGAATACAGTTAAAAATTGAAATGAATAGCTGAAAATAAGAATTATAGTGACCGAAAAATACAATAAACTAGTGAGGAACACTGGTTTAAGAGGAACTTTGAAGAAGCTGCATATAATATGTTGTTAAACGACGCATTTAGCTAAGCTAGCGTAGATATACACAACATATAGAAATTTTGAATCAGATGAAAAATGATCCACTCCCGCTAAGCCGATAAAGCGGAGGAAACGAAGAGGGAATATGTGAAAGCGTTCAAATGACCTATAAATAGTCATCTCCCAGAGGAATAGTCCAGTCATCACCCGAATACGATCGTAGATACTAACAATTGAAAAATATCATATTAGACAAAGGAAGTCCGAAACAGTGAAAATAATACTGCAGATTGGTGGCCAACAGGAAACATGAAGCAGAAGTATACGAATATTCGAAACCCACCAATCAGGGCGACTTATGTGATGAAATTTGGAAAACATTGGGGAATCGAAGAAAACGCATTGCATTTGAATAGACGGTATTTCGATCCTCTTCATGCCACTCAAAGAATAACTGATTATTCCAGTGGAAATGTATTCTGTTTCGTGTTTCGTTCTGAACAAAAATATGTTTCCTGAAATGTCATCAGCCAACAGGTATATAATATAAAAAAACTGAAAAATTACGGGAATTTGGAAGTATGATTATCTGATCAGATTTCAAACAACTTGTATGACTATACTTTTTTGTCAGGAATGATTCGCGTTTTTTACAAACTCGTATTGGATTCTCATTCACTGAGCTTTGATTCGTTCAAAAAAGATCCGGTGAATATTTTCTCATAAAGAATAATATTTTGATACATTTTGCAACGATTTAGATAATGTTATTATATCCTGCTTTATTGCTTTTCTTATTTCACTTTCAAATATTTTTACTGGTACGCCATTCAGATATTCAATTGTCAAGTGATAAAATATCTGTTCCTTTCTGAATATTCTTCACTTCAGTTACTCATTCGCAGAAATTGTTCATTTAAAAATAGTTATTTTCAAGCTCAATTCAATTTTCACAATTTGTTCAAACATACATGCATCATCATGCTATCCAAGAATGCATAAATGTAACCATACACCAACTCACATGTTTATATGTATAGTAATTCAAATATTATCAAGTCTGCCAAGCATGAAATTGGGCTAGTTATCACAAATTTATATTACTGTTTCGATAAGAATTTGCACATATATTTCAGAAATTTTCATATCTTTCAATTGTCAGATAAATAGGTAAGGTTCTATTTATAAACAGAATACGTCCGTGTTACAATACATTTTTATTGCCTTACACAATTCAATTAACGATTCCACAATTAAAAAAAAATGCTTCGCTGCCGATAATATTATTATCATTTCAAATCTAAAATATTTCATGGTTTTATAGTAGTACAGAAACTTTGTGTGTCAAAAATTACGGATGGGATATTATTTCAATTTCCATTGTGGAAGGTTTTCAAAATTGCGACTCATGTTTCGCTATAAAACAGCTTCCTGAAAATTTGGCGTGAAGTTATCCACAGATTTCTGGCCACACATAATGACGTAGAGAAAAATAAAAATCTGTGGTTGGGATATGAAATTATTAGCACCCGTACTAATATCTGTGGCTGGAAATACCTATTCACTATAGGTTGAACGTGAAATTACTAAGACTATTTGGTGTATAACTTATTATAGAATCTTGAATAGATTGACGCGTTGATAACCGTTTTCTCATCAACAATACAGATTTAGGAAAGAATAATATTGGAAATATCAGAGTTTCTTTCCAATACTCAATGTAGGAATCACACCCGATGATGTACGTTCATGAAAATCACACAACTTCCATAGTTTCTTGAGTGAATTAACTTGGCGATAACACTTTTCTTCCTCCTCGTGGAGCAGTGAGACCTTGACGTTGATGAGGAGGCTTGATACCCAAAATGATCCTGCGAGCGATGCCAGTGGGAGTGTAAACTCCTGGTAGGGCCACCCATGCTGATAAGGTCAAAGGAGATTGGTGAAGCTAAGGACTGCTCAAATGAGGAATAAACCTCTAGAAAAATTCGCAATCCCAAAGTATCATCCATGCTGATGGGATGAATGACTGCAGCGTTACGCAGTCAAGAATGAAAATAATTGGTGACGATACCCTGCCTTCACATACGGGGCTCTGCGGAGGTTGATAGATATTTCCCTAGCTACTCGTAGGAACAAAATGAATTCTGACGAAATAATTAATGAGGAGCTTCCTATCTCCGAAAACCTAGGAACTTCTGGTGTAAACTCTACCCAAGAGAAAACACCAAACATGAGCCAGGAGACGACGGGTCCTATCCCTCGGTTCCTGATCATGAGAAGGAAGAATGGCGACTTCACAAGAGTCAGTCCATTTCTAATTCGAAGAGTAATGTATGGACTTATAGGCACAACTAATGACTTGAAGAAAGTAAAGGACGGATTGCTAATAGAGACAAAAACTAGAGCCCAAGCAGAGAGAATGCTTTCAATTGAAAAATTCTCTGAGTTTGAGGTTGAGGTTGTTCCGCATAAAACCCTCAACGAAAGTAAAGGTGTAGTATTTTGTAAAGACTTTCTCAACTGCACAATTGAAGAAATAGAAGGAGAACTTAAATCTCAAGGGGTAACCAAAGTAACCCGTATGAAACAAAAGAAAGGACATGAAACAATTGATTCACCAAATCATATTTCAGAATTCAACTCATGAGAAGATGCGAGGAATGAAAGGATACGTTAGCTATAGAAAAGATGGTATACCAAATCTCAGAGCAAGAGGAGGAGTAGCTATATTAATCCGAAACAATATTTCCGGTAACATAATCCAAGTACAGTTGAGGTAGTTGCCGCTCTCATAGACTTTCCAGCTTGACAATCTGTAGTATCTACCTACCTAACAACACCTGGAACTTAAATGATCTTGAAACAATAGCCAACCAACTCCCAGAACCCTACTTGATTGTGGGGGACTTTAATGCCCATAACCCACTCTGGGGATCTGAAAAACTTGACATTCGTGGAAGGAAAGTTGAAGAGTTAATTGATGATCTGAACCTCACACTTCTGAATAGTGGCGAAGGAACTTTTCTGAATCTGAGATCTCGCTCCTTATCAGCCATATACCTTGCCCTATGCACATCAACTCTTGCTCCTTTGTTCAGATGGTACTGCCTTGGTGATAATATGACGGATTATTTTCCTATAAGTATAGAGTGTCCCAATGAAACAGAGCAGAATTGAACAATTTGAGGGAAGTTAACCTCGATAATACAGATGACGCGGTCGAAGAAATCAGCACTGCTATTCTGAATGCCGCCCAAAGAACAATCCCTCAGTCATCTGGTAGGAATCGAACCAGGAAAGTTCTTTGGTGGAATGAAGAAATAGCTATTCTCACAGCCGATAAAAAACATGCTTTGAATATTTTTAAGCGACACCCCACCGAGAAAAACATGATAGCCTTCAAACGCGCTAGAGCCAAAGCAAGACGCACTATACGAGAAAGTAAAAGGCGATCCTGGGAAAAATATGTATCCTCCTTAACTGCGGACACCTCTACTTCAGAGATATGGAACAAAATTCGCGCCATAATGGGTAAAAAGTTTACAAATGTATCTCAAGTACTTGAAGCTGATGGCCAACTCATCACTGATCCTCAGGAAATCAACGAAAGAATTGCAGAACATTTTGCTGCAATAAGCAGCACCCCAAATCTAGATCTAGATCTGCAGACAATAAAAACAACAGCAGAAAGACACAGATACTTTGTCGGGGGAGGAACCCCCGACGAAGTATCGGGAACCCCGAGTTTGAATCAGCCTTGAGAAATACCAAAACCTCTGCGCCTGGATCCGACGGAATCATGTATGATTTCATGAAACAACTTTCAATAGAATCCAAGTATATAATTCTCAATCTTTTCAACAAAATATGGCAAACCAGTAAGTATCCTGAAAAATGGAGAGGAGCGATTATAATTCCAGTTCTTAAAAATGGTAAAGACCCGAAACATATTCACAGCTATCGGCCTATCTCACTCGCAAGCTGTCTGAGTAAAGTCTTGGAGAAAATGGTGAGTTATAGACTACGTTGGTATCTGGAATCAAATAAACTCTTATCCAACGCACAAGTAGGAATCCGAAATCATAGATCTTCTATCGACCAAGCGTTTTTACTTGAGAGTAGCATCCGAAACAGCTTTGCTAATGAATCCCACGTTACTGCCATATTTTCTTGGGTCTCATCTTCGATAAAAAATTAACATGGGCTCCACATATAAGCGACCTGACCCTAAGATGTAAAAAAGTACTCAATTTGATGAAAGCTCTAGCTCATATTCGTTGGGGAAGTAATAGGGAGGTGCTCCTCAAAATATATAAATCTATTATCCTTTCGAAAATAGACTATGACTGCATGATATATAGCTCAGCACGAAAATCCAGATTGAAAAAACTGGACTCAATACAGCATTGAGACTGGCAGTGGGTGTATTTAGAACCAGCCCCTATTCATCACTTTCGGCTGAAACAGGAATTCCTCCTTTGAAATATGGAAGACAACGACTCCTTTCGAATTATGCTGTTAACATTTTAGCGCAGCCTAATCACCCTAATTACCCTAATTACCCAACATTCAATGAAGACACTGATGACGAAAACCAACCCACGATAACAAGACCAGCTCAAATAAGGTTCAAAGAAATACTGAAGTTCACTCAGTATACAGTTCCAGCCATTTATATTTATAACCCGGGAGAAATTCCTCCTTGGGAATTGGAAAAAGTGAGAGTGAATCTTAAACTCAGCCATACTGCAAAAGATGGTAATCAAGATATCTTGAGGGCAGAATTCAACAAACTCCTCACAACTTACTCTGGATTCATATTTATTTACACCGATGGATCAAAAATCAAAAACCCAAGAAGGTACTGGATGTGCGGTCACTAGTCAAGGTTCGACTCACAGTTAGAGATTACCGGCACAAACAAGTATTTCACAACCTATTTCTGTCAATTCCATAATGAAATAAAATTTCTCATTTGTACGGACTCCTTAAGCTCACTACACGCACTAGAAAATTCATTCAATAAAGATCCACTAGTACAGACCATATTGGCATCCATACACTAGACCAATAGGAATGGAAAACACATCGAATTTACATGGACTCCACCAAGACTCGGGTAATGAATTAGACTCACCAAAGAATCTCGGGTAATGAATTAGCAGATCAGGCAGCCAAACGAGCTACCGAAATACCTGATGTTTGTGATAATATTCCTATTCGACCGGAAGACGTGAAATATTATTTTAAACAACAGATTATGGATTTATGGCAAACTGAATGGGAGGAAACAGAAGCAAAATTGAAAGAGGTGAAGCCAAAAATCACACCCTGGAGGCATTCTATTCCAAAGACACGAAGAGAACAAACTGTGATCACATATCTTGCTTTACATATCTTGCTAAATTGTGTCCAATATGATGAAGCTAGACAACGATTTGAAATACCAAATTCTATGAAGGAATGTTTGAAAGATCATAATGAAAGTCTGGAGAGAATTATCAAATTTATGAAAGCTATTGGGCTATACTAAAAAATTTGAAGAAGAAATCAAATGTTGAACAAACTAATAGTAAAAGGCCAATGACCTCGTTGTCGACGCCTTAAAAAAAAAACACTTTTCTTGTCATCTACACAGATTTTAAAAAATTGTTGAAACTATCAGACTAACTTTTTTTAAACCCCTTGTGGAATAGGAACCAGATGATGTGCGTGCATAAAAATCGAACAAGTCTTATGGAATTTCGGATAGATTAACGTAGTGATAACAGTTATCTTGTCACCCATACAGATTTGCAGGAAAAATGTTGTAAAAATCAGACTCACTTTTTCAAACGCCTTGTAGAATTGGAACCATATGATGTGCGTACATAAAAATCACAAAACTGTTATAGAATCTTGGGCAAATCAACATAGTGAAAACCGTTTTCTTGTCACCTATACAGATTTCGAGAATAAAATTGTTTAAACGATCAGACTAACTTTTTAAAACCCCTCGTAGAATTGGAACCAGATGATGTGCATGCATTAAAAATCGAACAAGTCTTATGGAATATTGAGTAGATTGATGTGATAATAGTTTTCTTGCTACCCAAACAGACTTCGAAAAAAAAATTTGAAACAATCACTCATTTTTGCGATTCCTTGTAGAATTGGAATCGGATGATTCCTCACTCCAATTCACTTTATGAAATTTTCAATATACAAATAACAGATTTCGAGAATACTGTAACGAATCTGAAGCCGCCCCTGCCCAGTATGCCGACTGAATCATGTAACAAACACATGACATCAAACCGTTACATTATATGAGCCCGGTTTCCCGACCCAAGAGGGCAGTTCAGAAAGTGAATCGTGCGGCTAAACAAGAAATTTAAATAGTGGAAATAAAGTAAGCGTTAATTGCTAAGTGTTGTAAATAAATTAGTTTATCATCAGTGGAATATTGTTGGAAATGAATTTGTTCAAGACAGTTAATACTTCAATTTGCCACAATATCTTCAAACTGGAAGAGAAGCAATATTCTTACTCATTCGTATTACATTTTAAAAAATAATTTTTTCAATCACGAAATATGAAGTTTTTTCTCCCTTTCAATAAACACTCAATTTTTTAAGAAAAAAATAACGAGTAGCAGGAAGATTCAGCGATGAAAATTGTGAGTTTGTACGTCTTTTCCCATTTGAGATTCGACTATATCAATGTAGTAATATGTCAAATTCTGTGAGAGTGAAGTAATTCATATCGTGCGAAACAAATAGTTTGAAATTATAATTTTGTCACATTTCTATGATTCATAGATTAAACTACAGTATTATGAGATAATTTTTTCCCGCATATTTGTTTGCTTACTACAATAGATGAGTAATCAACATAGAGACCGAACCCGTGGGGATACCTAATGAAAAAGCTTATGTTTCTTTGAGAATTAGTGNAGGTGTCCCCACAGAAAGAAGTTCATTGGTGTGAGATCAGGTGATCTAGCTTGACACTCCACTGGACCCCTTCTGCCGATCCAACGTATTGGAAAACGTTCGTCCGAAAACTGTGTCACCCGAACATCAAAATGTGGAAGTACCCCATCCTGCTGAAATGTTATTTCATTCTCTAGTAAACTGTCATCATTTTCTAAAATTTGTATAAGGCTTACACAATCCTATGATTACAGTATACGGTCTCCCAATCCTCTCAGATTACCTGTAGGAAAAGTCAAAATGTTCAGCGCTGAAATCTCACCCATGACTATCTTCTTGATTATCATCAATGGTACCTATAATAGTATACTGAAAAAATTCCAATTGATTGGTAAGGTTGTCATAGTCTTAAGGTTTTCCCAATTTCATTCATGCATATGCATTTGCTGACCTACCTGATCTTCTATGTCTTTAATACCCAAGCATAATTCAGAAGAACACCCCACTTGGTAGGGACATTCTAAGGCCCGCTGCTGCAAATCAGCTATTATGAGAACAAATGAGGAAACTTTGGAGGATACAATGAACGAATAAGGAATCATGCCATGGTTCATCGTAGAGTTCGAAAAGCAGATCCAATAATAAAAGCTACACGAGTTATTGCAAAACAGACATACGAGCTGGTTGAACGATTTTGAAAAGAACTACTTTTCCCATGGCATAGGCATGGGGTTTGCTGACAACAGATTACAAGATACTAGTATGATGTTTGAGAAGAAGAATCAACGAATACACAGAAAAGGCTAATTTAATATTCTTTTATATATACTACTTTTAACTACCAGACTGGAAAAATATTCATGTCTTTCAGATAATGGGTTGGTATCTCAATATTGGGACCATCTTACTAGTGCAGTATGCAGCCGCAGACTTTTTTATATTGGAAACTCCTCTTGGAAAGATACAGGGTTCTGTTTTGAAATCAAGATTGGGGCGAGATATTTTCTCCTTCAGAGGTGTTAGATACGCCGAAGCACCTATACATGATTTGCGATTCAAGGTAGAATATTTTCATTGTTTTTCTCATCTAACTTCAGTGAAAGCCATTTATTTTCAATTTCACGTATGCATCTTAGTGAAAAAGTTTTTTGTCTCACTCATACTCTTTCAGTAAAGAAATAATTGGATTGAGATTCAAAATTTAGACTTTGANAAAAGTTTCTTGTCTCACTCATACTCTCTCAGTAAAGAAATAATTGGATTGAGATTCAAAATTTAGACTTTGAATTTGAAATTTTTCGTTATGTTACTGAAAAAATTAAACATCTCCATCAAGAAACCAATGAAAAAATGTATATAGGTGTGCAAGGTCAAACTTGATCTGTCAGAAAATATGAAGAGTTGCTGACTTGTCTCAATTCTTTTTCGTTGTTAGACTGTAGCTACTATTTATAATTCACGTAGCAGAAAAACTGACTTTTCTCAATGCTTTTGAATTATTAGATCGAAATTACTATCGTAATTCACCTAGTAGTTCAAAAGTGCCAGAGTTGTTGAATCGAATTATCAGAAGAAGTCAAATCTCACGTTTCACATTTCGACTCGTTTCAGCCCCCTGTCCCAGTCAAGCAATGGAATGGGATTTATAATGCGACGAAAGATGGGCCGCTGTGTCCACAACCAACTGAAGATCCAATATCTGAAGATTGTCTCATATTGAATGTTTACTCGTCGAAGGTGGGTATTGAAAAGGGCAATTGAAATTGAGTTGATAATTATTAAAATTACCATCTGAAATGTCTGATATTGATAAAATCATTTTGTATTTATTTCACTTCATTAGCTACCAACATCTACGAACAATCCAAAACGACCCGTAATTTTGTTCATTCATCCTGGAGGACTCTATAGTGTTGGATCTACAAGCGTCTGGTTGGGACCAAACTACTTCATGGACCAAGATATCGTTTTGGTAACGATGAACTACAGGTTGGGAACCTTGGGTGAGTTCTAGCGCCATCATGAAACTTTGTAGGTAGGTAGAATTGGAACCCATGGCTTAAAATATACAGTGCATTCCATTTAAAACGAGCCACCCTGAATAACTTTTGGTACAATGATTTGCAGAAAAAATGAAAAAATACGTCAACCATATTATCCAGGGGGGCACACTTGACATATTCACATTTGATCTATCTTTTCCTTTGGCACCCCCAGAACATGTCACCGTTTTTTTAATGTATCAATTGTTTTGCATTATCAGATGTTCCATGATGAACAGACTTCAACAAAGTAAAATGCATTGTGGTAAAGCTCATAGTTTGGAAGCTAAAAGTCATTCGAGTTTAAAACGAGCCAGCCTGAATGGAATTCTATTCAATCTGTTACCTAGGTTAAGTTTGAATTCGATATTCTCTTCATTCTACAATAACGATTACCTACCAGGTGAAGTTACAATTGGTGTTTCTGTTTTTGTGAATTCTTGAGAAACAATGGTTTATACGCTTCGAGAACGGATTGAAATACTGATTTTACTACCAGAATGGAAATAGTGCTAGAGCTGCTGTCCATGTTCAATGATAATCATCCAGGAAGAAATATACGACTCAAATACGTTTCGGAATTATTGAACAAATTTATGGAAACTGGATCTGTTAACAATAAAAAGCAAAACCGTTCAGAAATTGTCAAAGGTGAAGCTATTTTTACTGCAGTTTTAGGACACGTTGGACTAATGGAGAATTCGCAATTTCATCCATGTAAGATCAGATTAGTTCATGGATTGAACGAAGATGATTTCGATAGATTTATCGAGTTTTATAGCAGGGGAGCCCACGATGCAAAATGGGGATTTATTCGAGCGTCATTGAGACATATTAGGTTGCAAAGCTTAGATGATGAGAAGAAAAAAATGTTATATAATATATANACCAGAATCATGATATGGAAGATGCTCAGAAATAAAGAAAAATGTGAACCGTTAGTTAACTTTCCAAAGCTGTCCTGGCAAAGGAAAGAAAGGAACAAAATGAATAATGATGAAGTACTGAAGAAAAAGGAAGGCCCTGACCCATCACTGTAGTCTGCTATTCCGAAGTAATGCCAGAGGGCGGTTCCAGAGTAGCCTGATTGACCGACGAGTGATTTTTCAGTCGGAAAGAATCCGACACTATCTGGTTACAGGGTGGCTAGGTGTCATTCGAAGATTTTTCCACTCGCCGAAAAGAAGAATCAAGTATCGGCCTTCCATTCAAACCTACTCTTCCTAACACAGTGCAACATCATAAATATGTTTGTAAATATATGATTCATATAGTACTTGAACATCCTTGAACATCCATCTCTGAGTGTAGATAAGAGTGTAGTGTTTCGTGCTCCGTGTGAAAAACCCGTCTGAAGTGTGTAAAAGTTCTTCAAAAATTGTGAATTT